CCATGTGCTTCTGTAAATATTTTAGAAGTGTCTTTTGGTTTTGGAAGTGTCTCTTTTCTTTCATAATATTTGGCTACCATGTGCTTCAAAGCCTGTAACAATAGTGTCTTTTGTTTTCTTTCTGTTTATAGTGTCTTTTGAAGGTTTTTCTTTCTGTTTGGCTACCATGTGCTTCAAAGCCTGTAACAATATTTTGAAGTGTCTTTTGGTTTTTTTCTGTTTGGCTACCATGTGTTTCAAAGCCTGTAAATAATATTTTAAAGTGTCAATATTTTTGGTTTTTCTTTCTGTTTGGCTACCATGTGCTTCAAAGCCTGTAACAATATTTTGAAAGTGTCTTTTGGCTTTTCTTTTGGCTACCATGTGTTTCAAAGCCTGTAACAATATTTTAAAAGTGTCTTTTGGTTTTGTTTTTTCTTTCTGTTTGGCTACCATGTGCTTCAAAGCCTGTAACAAACAATATTTTGGTTTTTTCTTTCTGTTTGGCTTTTTCTTCAAAGCATGTTTGGCTACCATGTGCTTCAAAGCCTGTAACAATAATATTTTAGTTTCATTTTTCTTTGTTTCAAAGCCTTTCTGTGTCTTTTGTTTTCTTTCTGTTTGGCTACCATGCTTCAAAGCCTGTAACAATATTTTGAAGTGTCTTTTGTTTTTCTTTCTGTTTGGCTACCATGTGCTTCAAAGCCTGTAACAATATTTTAAGTGTCTTTTGGTTTTCTTTAATGTTTGGCTGCTACCATGTGTTTCAAAGCCTGTAATAATATTTTAAAGTGTCTTTTGGTTTTCTTTCTGTTTTTGGCTACCATGTGCTTCAAAGCCTGTAACAATATTTTAAGTGTCTTTTGCTTTCTTTTGGTTTGGCTACCATGTTTCAAAGCCTGTAACAATATTTTAAAGGTGTCTTTGGTTTCTTTCTGTTTGGCTTATACTTACCATGTGCTTCAAAGCCTGTAACAATATTTTAAAGTGTCTTTTGGTTTTTTCTTTCTGTTTGGCTACCATGTGTTTCAAAGCCTGTAACAATATTTTGAAGTGTCTTTTTGTTTTCTTTCTGTTTGGCTACCATGTGCTTTAAAACCTAACAATATTTTAAAGTGTCTTTTGGTTTTCTTGGCTACCATGTTTCAAAGCCTGTAACAATATTTTAAAGTGTCTTTGGCTTTTAATGTACTTGGCTACCATGTGTTTCAAAGCCTGTAACAATATTTTAAGTGTCTTTGGTTTTTCTTTCTGTTTGGCTACCATATGCTTCAAGCCTGTAACAATATTTTAAAAGTGTCTTTTGGTTTTCTTTCCATGTGTTTCAAAAGCCTAACAATATTTTAAAGTGTCTTTTGGTTTCTTTCTGTTTGGCTACCTGCTTCAAAGCCTGTAATATATTTTAAGTGTCTTTTGGTTTTGGCTACCATAACCAAAGCCTGTAACAATATTTTTAAAGTGTCTTTTGGTTTTCTTTGTTTGGCTACCATATTGGCTAGAAAGCCTGCTAACAATATTTTTAAAAGTGTCTTTTGGTTTCTTTCTGTACTTCTCAAAGCCTGTAACATGTGCTGTTTCAAAGCCTGTAACAATATTTTAAGTGTCTTTTTGGTTTTCTTTTGTTTGGCTACCATCTTAGCTGAAGCCTGTAACAATATTTTAAAAAGTGTCTTTGGGCTTTTCTTAATGTTTGGCTGTGCTTCAAAGCCACAACAATATTACAAAAGTGTCTTTTGTTTTCCTGTTTGGCTACCATGTGGCTTCTAAATAACAATTTAAAAGTGTCTTTTGGTTTTCTGTTTCATGTTTAACAATATTTAAAAGTGTCTTTTTGTTTTCTTTCTGTTTGTCTACCATGTGCTTCAAAGCCTGTAACAATATTTTAAAAGTGTCTTTTGGTTTTCTTTCTGTTTGGCTACCATGTGCTTCAAAGCCTGTAACAATATTTTAAGTGTCTTTTGGTTTTCTTTCTGTTTGGCTACCATGTGCTTCAAAGCCTGTAACAATATTTTAAAAGTGTCTTTTGGTTTTCTTTCTGTTTGGCGACCATAAGTTTCTTTTTTCTTTCTGCTATGCTTCAAAGCCTGTAACTAATATTTTGAAGTGTCTTTTGGTTTTCTTTCTGTTGGCTACCATGTGCTTCAAAGCCTGTAACAATATTTTGTGTTTTTTTTCTTTTTGGCTACCATGTGCTTCAAAGCCTGTAACAATATTTTAAAGTGTCTTTTGGTTTTCTTCTGTTTATACCATGTTTCAAAGCCTGTAACAATATTTTGAAGTGTCTTTTTTTCTTTCTGTGTTTGTGCTTTCATAACAATATTTTAGTGTCTTTTTCATATTGGCTACCATGTGCTTCAAAGCCTGTAAATAATATTTTAAGTGTCTTTTGGTTTTCTTTTGTTTTGTACTTTTGTTTTTTTTTCTGTTTGGCTACCATGTGCTTCAAAGCCTGTAACAATATTTTAAAAGTGTCTTTGGTTTTTTTTCTGTTTGGCTACCATGTGCTTCAAAAGCCTGTAACAATAGTGTCTCTTGGTTTCTTTTTTAAAGTGTCTTTTGTATCTTTTGGTTTCCTTTCTGTTTTCTGTTTCCAAAGCCTGTAACAAATTTTAAGAGTGTCTTTTTGGTTTTTCTTTCTGTTTGTATGTACTTCCAAAATATTTTAAAAGTGTCTTTTGGTTTTTCATAATATTGGCTGCATGTGCTTTCATAAAGCCTGTAACAATATTTTAAAGTCTTTTGGTTTTTCTTTCTTTTGGTTTTCAAAGCCTGTTTCTTTTAGTCTACCATGTGCTTTAAAAGCCTGTAACAAATATTTTAAAGTGTCTTTTGTGTCTCTTTTCTTTCTGTTTGGCTACCATGTGCTTCAAAGCCTGTAACAATATTTTTGAAGTCTTTTGTCTTTTTGGCTTTCATGTCTTTTGGTTTCTTTTAGCTACCATGTGCTGTAATATTTCAAAGCCTGTAACAATATTTTGAAGTGTCTTTGGTTTTCTTTCTGTTTGGCTACCATATGCTTCAAAGCCTGTAACAAACAATATTTTAAAGTGTCTTTTGGTTTTTGTTTTCTGTTTGGCTACCATGTGCTTCAAAGCCTGTAACAATATTTTATAGTGTCTTTTGGTTTTTCTTTCTGTTTGGCTACCATGTGCCTGTAACAATGTTTTCTTTCCTGTAACAATATTTTGAAGTGGTTTCTTTCCTGCTTCAAAAGCCTGTAACAATATTTAAAAGTGTCTTTTGGTTTTCTTAATGTTTGCTACCATGTCTTCAAAGCCTGTAACAATATTTTTGAAGTGTCTTTGGTTTTTTTCTTTCTGTTTGGCTACCATGTGCTTTCATAATACTTCAAAGCCTGTAACAATATTTTAAAGTGTCTTTTGGTTTCTTTCTGTTTGGCTACCATGTGCTTCAAAGCCTGTAACAATATTTTAAAAAGTGTCTTTTGGTTTTCTTTCTGTTTGGCTACCATGCTTCAAAAGCCTGTAACAATATTTTGAAGTGTCTTTTGGTTTTCTTTCTGTTTTACCATGTGCTTGCCTGTAACAATGTTTAGAAGTGTCTTTTGGTTTCTTTCTGTTTGGCTACCATATGCTTCAAAGCCTGTAACAATATTTTGAAGTGTCTTTGGTTTTCTTTCTGTTTGGCTACCATGTGCTTCAAAGCCTGTAACAATATTTTGAAGTGTCTTTTGGTTTCTTTCTGTTTGGCTACCATGTGCTTCAAAGCCTGTAACAATTTTATTTACCAAAAGCCTGTCAATATTTTAAAGTGTTTTGGTTTTTTCTGTTTGGCTACCATGTGCTGACCTGTAACAATATTTTAAAGTGTCTTTTGGTTTTCTTTCTGTTTGGCTACCATGTGCTTCAAAGCCTGTAACAATAAAGTGTCTTTTGTTTCTTAACAATGTGCTTCAAAGCCTGTAATTTAAAGTGTCTTTTGGTTTTTTCTTTCTGTTTGGCCTGTCATGTCTTTTGTTTTCTTTCTGTTTGGCCTGTAAGCCAACAATTTTATAGTGTCTTTGGTTTTCTTTCTGTTTTCATGTTTCAAAGCCCACAATATTTTGGAAGTGTCTTTTGGTTTTTAAAGCTACCATGTGCTTAAGCCACATAACAATTTTGAAGTGTCTTTGGTTTTCTTTCTGTTTTGGCTACCATGTGCTTCAAAGCCTGTAACAATATTTTTAAAGTGTCTTTTGGTTTTCTTTCTGTTTGGCTACCATGTGCTTCAAAGCCTGTAACAATATTTTGAAGTGTCTTTTTTGTTTTCTTTCTGTTGGCTACCATGTGCTTCAAAGCCTGTAACAATATTTCTTTCTGTTTTGGCTACCATGTACTTCAAAGCCTCTTTTAAAGTGTCTTTTGTTTTTCTTTCTGTTTGGCTACCATGTGTTTCAAAGCCTGTAACAATATTTTGAAGTGTCTTTTGGTTTTCTTTCTGTTTGGCTACCATGTGCTTCAAAGCCTGTAACAATATTTAAAAGTGTCTTTTTTTTTTCTTTCTGTTTGGCTACCATGTGCTTCTAAAGCCTGTAACAATATTTTGAAAGTGTCTTTTGGTTTTCTTTCTGTTTGGCTACCATATGCTTCAAAGCTTTCTGTTTGCTAACAATATTTTGAAGTGTCTTTTGGTTTTTTCTGTTTGGCTTTTGCTTCAAAGCCTGTAACAATGTGTTTGGCTACCATGTGCTTTAAACCTGTAACAATATTTTGTGTCTTTTGTTTTTCTTTCTCATTTGGCTACCAAAGCCTGTAACAATATTTTATAGTGTCTTTTGGTTTTCTTTCTGTTTGGCTACCATGTGCTTCAAAGCCTGTAACAATATTTTGAATAGTGTCAATTTTTGAAGTGTCTTTGGTTTTCTTTCTGTTTGGCTACCATGTGCTTCAAAGCCTAACAATATTTTAATATTTTGCTACCATGTGCTTCAAAGTGTAGAATATTTGTTTTCTTTCTGTTTGGCTACCATGTGCTTCAAAGCCTGTAACAATATTTTGAAGTGTCTTTTTGGTTTTCTTTTCATGTGCTTCAAAGCCTGTAACAATATTTTAAAAGTGTCTTTTGTTTTCTTTCTTTTGGCTTCCTGTGTGCTTAAGCCTGTAACAATTTTAAAGTGTCTTTTGTTTTCTTTCTGCTTCTTCAAAGCCTGTAACAATATTTTGAAGTGTCTTTTGTTTTCTTTCTGTTTTGGCTACCATGTGCTTCTAAAGCCTGTAACAATGTTTTACCATGTAAAGTAACAATCTTTAATGTTTAGCGACCAAGTGCTTTTCAATATTTCTGTTTGGTTTCTTTCTGTTTGGCACCATGTGCTTCAAAGCCTGTAACAATATTTTAAGTGTCTTTGGTTTTTTCTTTCTTTTTGTGCTTTGGCTTCCTGTAATGTTTTATGTGTCTTTTGGTTTCTTTCTGTTTGGCTACCATGTGCTTCAAAGCCTGTAACAATATTTTGAAGTGTCTTTTGGTTTTCTTTTTGGTTACCATGCTTCAAAGATTAAACAATTTTTTGTCTTTTGGTTTTCTTTCTGTTTGGCTAGCCCATGTGCTTCAAAGCCTGTCTTTTAACAATATTTTAAAAGTGTAACAATATTTTGGTCTTTTTTTTCTTTCTGTTTGGCTACCATGTGCTTCAAAGCCTGTAACAATATGTGCTTCAAAGCCTGTAACAATATTTTAGTGTTTTGGTTTTCTTTCTGTTTGGCTACCATGTGCTTCAAAGCCTGTAACAATAATATGTCTTTTGGTTTCTTTCTGTTTGTCTTTTGGTTTTCTTTCTGTTTGGCTACCATGTGCTTCAAAGCCTGTAACAATATTTTGAAGTGTCTTTTTGTTTTTCTTTCTGTTTGGCTACCATGTGCTTCAAAGCCTGTAACAATATTTTTTTTTTTGGTTTTCTTTTGTTTTCTTAAAAGCCTGTAACAATATTTTGAAGTGTCTTTTGGTTTTCTTTCTGTTTGGCTACCATGCTTTAAAAGCCTGTAACAATATTTTGAAGTCTTTTGTTTTCTTTTGTTTTTGGCTTTCTGTTTCAAAGCCTAACAATATTTTATAGTGTCTTTTTGGTTTTTTTCTGTTTGCTTCAAAGCCTGTAACAATATTTGAAGTCTCTTTGGTTTTCTTAATGTTTGGCTACCATGTGCTTTAAAGCCTGTAACAATATTTGAAGTGTCTTTTGGTTTTTCTTTCTGTTTGGCTACCATGTGCTTCAAAGCCTGTAACAATATTTAAAGTGTCTTTTTGTTTCTTTTCTGTTTGGCTATACCATGCTTAAAGCCTGTAACAATATTTTGAAGTGTCTTTTGGTTTTTCTTTCTGTTTGGCTACCATGTGCTTCAAAAGCCTGTAACAATATTTTAAAGTAGTTTTCTTTCTGTTTGGCTTTGCTTCAGCCTTAACAATATTTTAAGGTCTTTGGTTTCTTTCTTTTGGCTACCATGTGCTTCAAAGCCTGTAACAATATTTTGAAGTGTCTTTTGGTTTTCTTTCTGTTTGGCTACCATGCTTCAAAGCCTGTAACAAAGCCTTCAAAGCCTGTAACAATATTTTAGTGTCTTTTTGGTTTTCTGTTTGGCTACCATGTGCTTCAAAGCCTGTAAATAATATTTTGAAGTGTCTTTTGGTTTTCTTTCTGTTTGGCTACCATGTGCTTCAAAGCCTGTAACAATATTTTAAGTGTCTTTTGGTTTTTTCTGTTTGTTTGGCTGCATGTGCTTCAAAGCCTGTAACAATATTTTGAAGTGTCTTTGGTTTTCTTTTCTGTTTGGCTACCATGTGCTTCAAAGCCTGTAACAATATTTTGGAAGTGTCTTTGTTTTTTTGGTTTTTCTTTCTGTTTGGTCTTTTGGTACCATGTGCTTCAAAGCCTGTAACAATATTTTAGTGTCTTTTGGTTTTTCTTTCTGTTTGGCTACTATGTGCTTCAAAAAGCCTGTAACAAACCATTTTCAAGTGTCTTTTGTTTTCTTTCTTGTTTTGGCTACCATGTGCTTCAAAGCCTGTAACAATATTTTGAAGTGTCTTTGGTTTTCTTTCTGTTTGGCTACCATGTGCTTCAAAGCCTGTAACAATATTTTATCTTTTTTTTCTTTTCTGTTTGGCTACCATGCTTCAAAGCCTGTAACAATATTTTTGGTGTCTTTTTTTTTTCTTTTGTTTATTACCATGTGCTTCAAAGCCTGTAACAATATTTTGAAGTATCTTTTTGTTTTCTTTCTGTTTCTGTTTGCTTCATGTAACAATACCATGTCTTTTTCTTTCTGTTTTGCTACCATTTGCTTCAAAGCCTGTAAATAATATTTTTGAAGTGTCTTTTGGTTTTCTCTTTTTTTGGCCATGTGCTTCAAAGCCTGTAACAATATTTTAAAGTGTCTTTTGGTTTTCTTTCTGTTTGGCTACCATACTTAAGCCTGTAACAATATTTGAATGTCTTTTGGTTTCCTGTTTGTCAAAGCCTGTAACAATATTTTGAAGTGTCTTTTGGTTTTCTTTCTGTTTGGCTACCATGTTGCTTCAAAGCCTGTAAATAATATTTTGAAGTGTCTTTTGGTTTTCTTTCTGTTTGGCTACCATGTGCTTCAAAGCCTGTAACAATATTTTGAAGTGTCAATATTTTGGTTTTTTTCTTTCTGTTTGGCTACCATGTGCTTCAAAGCCTGTAACAATATTTTGAAGTGTCTTTTTGGTTTTCTTTCTGTTTGGCTACCATGTGCTTCTAAAGCCTGTAATAATATTTTATAGTGTCTTTTGGTTTTCTTTCTGTTTGGCTACCATGTGTGCTTCAAAGCCTGTAACAATATTTTTGAAGTGTCTTTTTGTTTTTTTCTGTTTGGCTACCATGTGCTTCAAGCCTGTAACAATATTTTGAAGTGTCTTTTGTTTTTCTTTTCTGTTTGGCTACCATGTGCTTCAAAGCCTGTAACAATATTTTAAAGTGTCTTTTTTTTTTTTTGTTTGGCTACCATGTGCTTCAAAGCCTGTAACATCTCTTTTTTCATAATAAGCGACCATGTGTTTAAAATATTGAAGTGTCTTTTGGTTTTCTTTCTGTTTGGCTACCATGTGCTTCAAAGCCTGTAACAATATTTTGAAGTGTCTTTTGGTTTTTTCTTTCTTTTGCAGCTGCCTTTGTGCTTCAAACTATGTGGCTTTCAAAGTGTGCTTCAAAGCCTGTAATATTTTAAAGTGTCTTTTTGGTTTCTTTCTGTTTTTACCATGTGCTTCAAAGCCTGTAACAATATTTTAAAGTGTCTTTGGTTGGTTTTCTGTTTGGCTACCATGTGCTTCAAAGCCTGTAAACAATATTTTGAAGTGTCTTTTGGTTTTTTCTTTCTGTTTGCCTGCTACCATGTGCTTCAAAGCCTGTAACAATATTTTGAAAGTGTCTTTTGGTTTTTTTTTTCTGTTTATACCATGTGCTTCAAAGCCTGTAACAATATTTTGAAGTGTCTTTTGGTTTTCTTTCTGTTTGGCTACCATGTGCTTCAAAGCCTGTAACAATATTTTAAAGTGTCTTTTGGTTTTTTTCTTTTCATGTTTCAAAGCCTGTAACAATATTTTGTGTCTTTGGTTTTCTTTCTGTTTAATAATATAACAATATTTTAAAGTGTAACAATGTTTTGGTTTTCTTTCTGTTTTGGCTACCATGTGCTTCAAAGCCTGTAACAATATTTTTGAAGTGTCTTTTGGTTTTCAAGCCTTTCTGTTTGGCTACCATGTGCTTCCAAAGCCTGTAACAATATTTTAAAAGTGTCTTTTTCTTTTGTTTAATGCTTTAGCCTGTAACAATACCATGTCTTTTGGTTTTTCTTTCTGTTTTGGCTACCATGTGCTTCCAAAGCCTGTAACAATATTTTGAAGTGTCTTTTGGTTTTCTTTCTGTTTGGCTACTATGTATTTCAAAGCCTGTAACAATATTTTGAACCTGAAGTGTTTTTGTCTTTTCAAAGCCTGTAACAATATTTTTCTTTCTGTTTGGCTACCAAAGGTAACAATATTTTTTTCTTTTCTTTGTTTGGCTACCATGTGCTTCAAAGCCTGTAACAATATTTGAAGTGTCTTTTGGTTTTCTTTCTGTTTGGCTACCATGTGCTTCAAAGCCTGTAACAATATTTTAAAGTGTCTTTTTGGTTTCTTTCTGTTTGGCTACCATGTGCTTCAAAGCCTGTAACAATATTTTGAAGTGTCTTTGGTTTCTTTTTGTTTGGCTACCATGTGCTTCAAAGCCTGTAACAATATTTTAAAGTGTCTTTTGGTTTTTCTTTCTGTTTGGCTTAAAACTTCTAAAGTAACAATATTTAAAAGTGTCTTTTGGTTTTTCTTTCTGTTTGGCTACCTGCATGTGCTTGCCTGTCAAACAATATTTTGAAGTGTCTTTTGGTTTTCTTTTCTGTTTTGGCTACCATGTGCTTCAAAGCCTGTAACAATATTTTGAAGTGTCTTTTGTTTTCTTTCTGTTTGGCTACCATGTGCTTCAAAGCCTGTAATAATATTTTGAAGTGTCTTTTGGTTTTCTTTTCTGTTTGGCTACCATGTGCTTCAAAGCCTGTAACAATATTTTGAAGTGTCTTTTGGTTTTCTAATTTTGGCTACCATGCTTCAAAGCCTGTAACAATATTTTGAAGTGTCTTTTGGTTTTCTTTTCTGTTTGGCTACCATGTGCTTCAAAGCCTGTAACAATATTTTTAAAGTGTCTTTTGGTTTCTTTTTGTTTTGGCTACCATGTGCTTCAAAGCCTGTAACAATATTTTGGAAAAGTGTCTTTTGGTTTCTTTCTGTTTGGCTACCATGTGCTTCAAAGCCTGTAACAATATTTTGAAGTGTCTTTTGGTTTTCTTTCTGTTTGGCTACCATGTGCTTCAAAAGCCTGTAACAATATTTTGAAGTGTCTTTTGGTTTTTTCTTTCTGTTTGGCTACTATGTGCTTCAAAGCCTGTAACAATATTTTTATAGTGTCTTTTGGTTTTTTCTGTTTGGCTACCATGTGCTTCAAAGCCTGTAACAATATTTTAGTGTCTTTTGGTTTTCTTTCTGTTTGGCTACCATGTGCCTTAACAATAAGCTCATAATGTAACAATATTTCAATCCTGTAACAATATTTCTGTCTTTTGGTTTTCTTTCTGTTTGGCTACCATGTGCTTCAAAGCCTGTAACAATATTTTAAAGTGTCTTTTGGTTTTCTTTCTGTTTGGCTACCATGTGCTTCAAAGCCTGTAACAATATTTTGAAGTGTCTTTTGGCTTTCATAATACTTGGCTACCATGTGCTTCAAAGCCTGTAACAATATTTTTGAAGTTTTCTTTCTGTCATTTTGGTAACAATATTTTTGTCTTTCTGTTTTTCTGTTTACCATGTGCTTCAAAGCCTGTAACAATATTTTGAAGTGTCTTTTGTTTTTATTTCTGTTTTACCATGTGTTCAAAGCCTGTAACAATATTTTATAGTGTTTTTTGTAAAACCTGTAATATTTTGAAGTGTCTTTTGTTTTCTTTCTACCATGTGCTTCAAAGCCTGTAACAAATTTAATATTTTGAAGTGTCTTTCTGTTTGGTTTTATTTCTGTTTTTTACTTATGTTTTCTTCAAAGCCTGTAAATAATATTTTGAAGTGTCTTTTGGTTTTCTTTTTGTTTGGCTACCATGTGCTTCAAAGCCTGTAACAATATTTTGAAGTGTCTTTTGGTTTTCTTTTTGGCTACCATGTGCTTCAAAGCCTGTAACAATATTTTGAAGTGTCTTTTGGTTTTCTTTTGTTTGGCTACCATGTGCTTCAAAGCCTGTAACAATATTTTGAAGTGTCTTTTTTTTCTTTCTGTTTGGCTACCATGTGCTTCAAAGCCTGTAACAATATTTTAGTGTCTTTTGGTTTTTCTTTTGGTTTTCTTTCTGTTTGGCTACCATGTGCTTCAAAGCCTGTAACAATATTTTGAAGTGTCTTTTGGTTTTCTTTTCTGTTTTGGCTACCATGTGCTTCAAGTAAACAGCCTGTAACAATATTTTGAAGTGTCTTTTGTTTTTTTCATTTCTGTTTGGCTACAATATTTTATGTCTTTTGCTGTTTCAAAGCCTGTAACAATATTTTGAAGTGTCTTTTGGTTTTCTTTCTGTTTGGCTACCATGTGCTTCAAAGCCTGTAACAATATTTTTGAAGTGTCTTTTGGTTTTCTTTCTGTTTGGCTACCATGTGCTTCAAAGCCTGTAACAATATTTTTGAAGTGTTTTGGTCTTTTTTTTCTTTCTGTTTGGCTACCATGTGCTTCAAAGCCTGTAACAATATTTGAAGTGTCTTTTGGTTTTTCTTTCTGTTTTACCATGTGCTTTTAACAATATTTTATAGTGTCTTTTTGGCTTTCATAACTTGGCTACCATGTGCTTCAAAGCCTGTAACAATATTTTGAAGTGTCTTTTGGTTTTCTTTCTGTTTGGCTACCACCATGTAACAATATTTTAAAGTGTCTTTTGGTTTTCAAAGCCTGCTTAAAAGCCTGTAACAATATTTTAAAGTGTCTTTTTGGTTTTAGCTCTTTCTGTTTGGCTACCATGTGCTTCAAAGCCTGTAACAATATTTTAAAGTGTCTTTTGGTTTTTCTTTCTGTTTTGGCTACCATGTGCTTCAAAGCCTGTAACAAATTTAATATTTCTTAAAGTGTCTAACAATTTTTTTTTGTCTTTTGTTTTCTTTTTTGGCTACCATGTGCTTCAAAGCCTGTAACAATATTTTAAAGTGTCTTTTGGTTTTTTGTTTGGCTACCATGTGCTTTCTCAAAGCCTGTAACAATATTTTGAAGTGTCTTTTGTTTTTTTTCTGTTTTACCATGCTTTAAAGCCTGTAACAATATTTTGAAGTGTCTTTTGGTTTTCTTTCTGTTTGTTTTACAAAAGCCTGTAACAATATTTTGAAGTGTCTTTTGGTTTTCTTTTCTGTTTGGCTACCATGTGCTTCAAAGCCTGTAAACAATATTTTGAAGTGTCTTTTGGTTTTTCTTTCTGTTTACCATGTGCTTCAAAGCCTGTACAATATTTTGAATGTGTTTTCTTTCTCAAAGCCTGTAACAATATTTTGAAGTGTCTTTTGGTTTTTTTCTACCATGTTTGGTAACAATACCATGTCTTTTGCTTCAAAAGCCTGTAACAATATTTTAAAGTGTCTTTTGGTTTTCTTTTCTGTACCATGTGCTTCAAAAGCCTGTAACAATATTTTGAAGTCTTTGTCTTTTGGTTTTCTTTCTGTTTGGCTACCATGTGCTTCAAAGCCTGTAACAATATTTTAAAGTGTCTTTTTTGGTTTTGTTTTCTGTT